TGATTCGGAAAAAATTTCGAAAGCATTTCAAAAGAATATTTCCCAGAGAAGCAAGACAGAGCGTACAACTGACGAAAAAAAAGTGGCAATATCTTTGAAATGTTGTTATATTTTTTCGAAAGCACCAACGCGATAATTATTTTTGGCGAGCTTTTTTTCTTTTCTTTGAAGTTTCCAGAGAAGAGATTTCAAAGCAAAATGAGCTGTAAAAATTCAAAAATTTTGAAGTTTAATTTGCAGTGCATTACAGATTTAATAATTCAGAACCAGATTTTGAATCATAGTTTGCCAAAATCTGTAACATCTCAAATTTCAAGCGAAAAATGAAATCACAAACTGCGGAAAAAGCAAATTATAAATATGAAATAAAGATGATGAAATAAAATCAAACTTGCGCCTTCGGGCCCACGATAAACGCCGCTGCTTAATGACATTACCACAGTTTAGCTGTTATTTGTTTGCCCATCGCCTTAGGGGCACTAACCGGAGATATGCAGTCCAGGACCGAAGAACTTAGCGCAGCTGAACCTAGCATATGGGAACATCCCAATAACTTCGCTAATACGGGATATTCACACGGATCTAAGGGCGCTCTTCGCATTTCCATTGTAGCTGATTAAATTTCTAGTTTTTATCGTCCTACTATTCAAAAGTAAACAAAAAAACCCAGGCTAGAACGCACCAAGCTTAACGGTACGATCATGTGTTTTTGCACTAATTTTGAACTAATTAGGTTAGCTGCATAAATGGTTGTTTCTCCCCACCTACCTTGTGCGCTCAATACAGTAAATTATCGTAAATTTTGCATAAACGGAAGTGAACAATTTCCGTTTAGCGGTCGTTCCTTTTGAAAATGACCCGGCCGTACAATAAGAAATTTGCCCGCCAAAAATTTAAGCGCCCAGTACTGGAGGACCACGCCTACGTGGAGGCTGGATTTGAAAATTTTAAGTTGTATTTGAACTAGGGATATTCTTCTGAAATCTCAGCTTTCCAGCTTTTCTGGTCCCTGTGTTAGCAATTTTCCCGCCAAAACTTTCACGGGCCTGCACACGACCTGGAGCATACCTGGGGGCTGGTTTTGAAATCTTTAAGTTGCATATGGGCTAGGAACATCCCCTGAAAATTCCACCTTCCCAGCTTTCCTCTTTCCCGAGTCAGCAATTCTTCCCGCCAAGAACTTTCGCGGAGCCGTACGTGAGAACCGCGCATGCCCGGGAGCTGAATTTGATAACTTTGAGTTGTGCATGGATGAGGAACATTCCCTCAAAATTTTAGCCTTCCAGCGTTGCTACTCCCCGAGTTAGCCGTTTTCCCGCCAAAAAATTTCACGAGGCCGCACGTGATAGCCACGTTTGCCTGGGGGCCCTCCCCTCTCCTTTACATAGTCTAGGCAACAGCCAAAGGATCTACGTTGCGCAGCCATTCAGTGCACCAACCCAACCC